GACGACAAGAACCTTTTAGTACTTTTAATGACATCATTGTCAGTACCAAAAATAAGCATGTCGTCTACACATAGGCATATGATTATACCTCTATTACCAGTAAACTTACTGTACACACACTTATCAGATTCATGTATCCTAAAACCATTTGACAATATTACTTTGTCAAATTTCTCATGTCACTGTTTTGGAGATTGTTTCAGTCCATATAGTGACTTCACGAGTTTACACACTTTGTGTTCTTGACCCTGTACAACAAATCCTTCCGGTTGTTGCATATAGATTTCCTCATCTAACTCTCCATTTAGGAAAGCAGTCTTAACATCCATTTGATGGATTTTAAGCTTGTAGATTGAGGCTAAGGAAATCAATACTCGAATAGTGGTGATCCTGTCCACTGGAGCATATGTATCAAAATAATGAGCACCCTCCTTTTGAGTAAAACCCTTAGCAACTAATCTTGCTTTGAACTTGTCAATTGTGCCATCAACTTTCATTTTCCTTTTGAAAATCCATTTACAACCAATTGGTTTGGATCCAGGTGGCAAATCAGCAAGTATCCAAGTATTATTACCTATGATAGAATCCATCTCATCGTTTATTACTTCTTTCCAGAAAGTAACATCTTGAAACTTCATAGCCTCCTCAAAGGTTAATGGATCTAAATCCATATTTAAAGAAATCATTGTTTGCTTACAATAATCTTTCGTAGTTCCTTCTATAAGGTAAATTATGAAATCAGAGCCAAATGACTTCTCAGTCCTAGCCCTCTTACTCCTCCTTAACTCTACAAGCTCATTAGGTTCATTAGGCTCAATGGGTTCATGTCGTTCACTTTCCTCTGTAGACATCAAAGGAGTTGATTCATTTCCTTGATTAGAATCCAACCTTGGAATGGTTGTGAAACTATTCTCATAAAACACCGCATCACGTGATTCAATGATGGTATTTCTTTGCACTAAACCATTGGGCTCTACTACTAGAAACCTATATGATTTGCTATGTATAGCATAGCCAAGGAATATGCATTCAATTCCTTTTTCACCTAATTTCTTCCTTTTAGGTTCAAGCAATCTGACTATTGCTCTACATCCCCATGTTTTCAAGTAGCCTAGATTAGGTTTCTTATTTTTCCATAGTTCATAAGGAGGAACATTTCTTCCCTTGAGAGGAATTCTATTGAGCATGTGACAAGTAGTGAGCAAGGCTTCACCCCAAAAACCAAAACTTAAATTGGAGTAAGAAAGCATAGTATTAATCATTTCTGTTAATGTCCTATTCTTTCTTTTAGCTACTCCATTTTGTTGTAGTGTGTAGGGTGCAGACTTCTCATGAATAATACAAAAATTTTCACAATATTCTGAAAAATGGTATTCACCGCCTCTATCAGACCTAAATCTCTTTATTTTGACATTACACTAATTTTCTACTTCTGTCTTAAAAATCTTGAATTTATCAAGCACCTCATCTTTTGAATGCAAAAGATAGATATGATAGTACTTAGAAAAATCATCAATGAATGTTACAAAATATTTCTTACCACCTCTAGTGGGGGTACTTAGAAAAATCATCAATGAATGTTACAAAATATTTCATACTACCTCTAGTGGGGGTACTACGCATGTCACATACATCACTATGCACAAGTTCAAGCAAAGATGTGGTTTTATCTACTTTAGGAAATGGAATGCGCGTAATTTTTAATTGCACACAAAATTTACATTTTCCAAACATATCAATTTCATACTTAGGAATTAAATCTAAATTAACCATATCATACATTTTCCTAATATTAACATGACCTAAACGAACATGCCATAAAGAAAGAGAATCAACAATATAAGTAGAAATATATGTATTATTGATAACGTTAAGTTTGAAAATTCATTGATACATGTAGCACTTTCCAACAAAAATCTCACCCTTAGACAGGACAAATTTGTCCGACTCAAATACTAACTTGAAACCATGCTTATTAAGCAGGCTTCCAGATACAAGGTTTTTCCTGACATCAGGTACATGATAAACATTATTAAGACTTAAGACTTTTCCAGATGTGAACTCTAGATCCACCGTCCCTTTGCCTTTGATAGCAGCAGTTAAAGAGTTGCCCATGGAGAGAACTGTTTCATCACTCACTTGTTCATAAGTAGTGAAACGGCTCTTGTCGTTGCAAACGTGCCTTGTTGCTCCTGAGTCAATCCACTAGTCACCTGCATCTTCGAGCATGTTCACCTCCGATACAACAGTCACGAACTTGTTCTTGGCATTTGATGCTTCTAGCTTCTTCTTGTATGACCGGCATTCATTTCTGAAGTGCCTTGGGCTTGCCACAGTGCCAACAAGCACCTTTCGGCTTCTTAGCATCTTTCTCGGGTTGGGGTTCACGCTTACGCTTTTTTTTTGTTAAACCTCTTGCCATCATCCACCATGTAGATCTTGGAAGTCTAAGCCAATTGGTTATCTTTAAATTCAAAAAGCCTTGACTCTTCCTCAACTCGAAGGTGTTGAGCCAATTCCTCTAAAGTAAGATCTTCCTTTTTGTGTTTTAGAGTTTTCTTAAAATCCTTGCAAGAAGATGGCAGTTTCTCTATTCTAGATGAAACTACAATAGATTCATCCATGCTCATATTCTTTTGTCGAAACTGACTCAGAATTTACTGGATCTCATAGAATTGTTCCATAATGGGCTTTGTATCAATCATAGTAAAACGCATAAAATTACTAACAAGAAATTTCTTACTGGTGGCTTCCTCGATGAGATACTTTGACTGTAATATGTCCCAGAGTTGCTTTGCCATTTCCAGATGTTGATACACATCGAACAAAGAGTCTGACAGTGCATTCAGAATATGTCCTCGGCAAATGTAGTCGTCATTCTCCCATTTGGTTCTGGTACGGGTTTACTCCATAGTCTCGTCTTCTTGCTCCACCGGATAGAGGGTAATTAGCACATAGACCACTTTGAGAGCGGTGAGCAAAAAATGCATCCTCTTTTTGCCAGCGTCGAAAATTTCCTCTATCAAAGCAGTCAAGCTTCATGAAATCTTTAGTCATTTTCTTAATAGACATCACCATATCTAAATATTGTCTTTAGATTGTTGGAACAAATCGTTTTGAATTCTTCAAGTAGTGGTCTTCAGGTCTTCAAAACTTGGCGATGAACTTGTCTATGTAGTAAAGAAATATGATTATTCAAGTCGCGTTACTTAGTCGCTTTCCTAAAGACAATATTTGCACCCACAAAAAGGTGTGCAGAGGGTTATAGCAAATTTGCCTATAGGATACAGTGAAGCCTGATCTAAAGATCAAGTCTATCGGCGTCTGCACTGATGACAATAGATCTGAATACTCTTGATATAATCAAGAAAACTAAGAAACTGATAATCAAATCTGCAGAACTTGATTGCCAGTTAGAAAAGCAAAAATTGCTTAAAGAAACTTTTGATCGAAAACTTAAAATCAAGAGAGAGAGAGAGAAAGAAAATTGCAGGAATGCTTCTGAATTTTGTGGATGGCATCAAATAGCTGATTTCACAGCCTATTTATAAGCCTTGATGCACCTGATCAAATGGTCATGTCCCTTGATCGCATCCGATCAGATTTGACCATTGGATAGATGATCTACGGTGCAGATCATTCTCATACCGAATAGATGCCTTGATTAATCACACATGATCATGATCAGGTGCCATCTCATCCGTATGATCGCGCGCATCTCCAATCAACAGCTATGATCAAATCGCTCTAGATCAGACATACAACTGTTCGATCAGTTGGTTGACTCACTGCCAACGGATGCCACGTCACTACCACATGGAGCTGACTGTATTCCACATCACCCATGACATATTGGATCCATATCATCGGTCCAACCTGTCCGATGCAAATAGGAAAACGCCCTCATGGTGCCTATGCAAAGTGCGCCATCAAACACCACATAGCCCACTGCCCACGCCACGCTCGTATGCGTTTGCGGATGGTGTGAAGCACCATCCTTGCGGTGTAAGTGCATGTACACTAGTATTCATCCCATAATACCATATTCAAATAAATATTCCATGTAGCACTTTATTAAGTGCTCCATGTTTTCCTCTCTTTCCGATGTGGGACAAAGCCCCAAGTTTATTTCATGCTTTCCAAAGAAAAACATGGAAGGTTTTGAAAACACCTAAAAATAAACTATAAATTTGAAAACCTATTTTGAAAATTCCCCAACATTAATTACTACCAAGGTTTTTCTAGCAAAATTCACAGCAAAGCTTCACCTTATTATGAATACATCACTTCCCAAAACTTTTTCACAAGTAAGACCTCAAACACAAGTATTTAATTTAATAAAGATGTGAGTGAGACTATAGGATCTCACATAACCCATCACTAGCTAGCTGCCTTTGATACAAAATAAAAATAAAAATAAAAAATCAATTTGATATTGCTGAATGAGAAAATGAATCAAATTTTACATGATCAATACAAAAAAAAGTTCCTAGAATTTAAAATATGTGAATGAGATGCAACATATGACCCACAGCCACAACACACCAAATACTGTGAAATTTTCTAGATATTTCTGGATATATATAGATATATATATATATATATATCTGATATATATATAATATATTTCTGATATATATATATATATATATATTCAATTCTAAAAAACAGTCAATAAGCTTTCACTCCTTGTAGTTTAAGTTCTACATTAAAAGCTACCAGGTTAAATGACACTGACATAGCTACAAAAAAATTATATTATTAATTCAGAACTACCTGTCATTTGCAAGATTCCAAGCTTCTTGTCTCAGTTCTGGGGATGTCTCAAGGGCTGCAAGGTAGTTTGATATAAATTTATGAGGATGTTCGACATGGCAAATGAAACCCCGTCTTCTTCAGTAGATGTTTTTTTGTTCTATTCAGGTCCTAGAAAAGCTACCAGGTTAAATGACACTGAAATAGCTACAAAAAAATTATATTATTAATTCAAAACTACCTGTCATTTGCAAGGTTCCAAGCTTCTTGTCTCAGTTCTGGGGATGTCTCAAGGGCTGCAAGGTAGTTTGATATAAATTTATGAGGATGTTCGACATGGCAAATGAAACCCCGTCTTCTTCAATAGATGTTTTTTTGTTCTATTCAGGTCCTAGTCAGGTCCATCTTCAACTCTGCATATTTCAGTAGATGCCACTTGCATTACACAAGCAAATCTGTGAATGACCATGTATAAATAAAAAAAAATTCCTTTTGTCATCCCACCCTAACCTTAGATAAGCATAGAACATAAGCAAAAATAGATCTGAAATTAATAATAATCTATATATCTTGCTAATAATCTATTAACATCTTATCTTTGGCACAAAACCAATAGTCAATCTAAGCACTAATCCTTGTTTAAGAAAACACAATAAAACCAATGATGATTAATGTTCTTCAAAGATGTGTCAGATAAACATAGAAAACTATATAAACACACATATGTAGTGAGATCATCGAATAAAGAGAAGAATAGAGAAAAAGTAAGAGAAAAACATTAAAAATTTCTTAGCTACCTATTTGTGGAACAAACAAAAAATCTATTTAAATCAAATACAGCTCTAGATCAAAACTATTGAAGCCGAATTCCTAAGAGAAACATAAGCCTAGATCCAGATTGTTACTATGTAGTGATGAAAATCTCTGAATCTTGAGTGCACTCATAGCAAGTTTAGATCAGACTCGATTAAGAACAAGCCCTATAATGAAAATCAAAACCCTAATCAAATGTAAATACAATAATTTTCAATAATAAATTTGAACATATATGAAAACTAGTAAATCAAATACAAGATTGCTACCATGAAAACTCTGTATCTCGAGTGAACTCAACAACTCCAAATCAAGAGCGATTGGATACCTGAATCTATTAAAAACGAAGACCTAGATCAGTAAAGATTAAGGGAAATCAAAAAATCTCAAAGGAAAATATCAAACCCTAAGACGTAGTACAAAAATCGAAATCGAGATCCAGATTGAACAAGAAACCATTGAGATTAGAAGCATCAATCTCTCTATAGATCTGTAAACTCCAGGAACTCTTCATTGCTGGCTGCATCCATGGCTCCTTAGGGCTACTGAGAGAGAACTGTTGGAACAAAGGGTCTTGAATTCTTCAAATGGTGGTCTTTGGGTCTTCAAAATTTGGCAATGATCTTGTCTATATAGAACAGAAAATTAGTGCTTCAAGTCACGTTACTAAGTCGCTTTCCTAAAGACAATATTTGTACCCATTAAAAGGTGTGCAAGAGATTACAACAAATTTGCCTCCAGTATACAATAAAGCCTGATCTAAAGATCAAGTCTATCGGCGTCTGCATTGACAACAATAGATCAAAACACTCTTGATATAATCAAGAAACCAAGACACTGATAATCAAATCTGCAAAACTTGATTATCAATAAGAAAAACAGAAATTTACATAAGAAACTGTTGATCGAAAATTCAAAATCAAGAGGGAGAGAGAGAGAGAATTGCAAGAATAATTGCAAGAATGTTTTTCAAGATTTTGGATGGAATGAAATGGCTGATTTCGTAGCCTACTTATAGGCCTTAATGGATCTGATCGAATGGTCATGTCCCTCGATCACATCCGATCAGATTTGACCGTTGGATCGACGATCTATAGTACAGATCATTCTGACACCAAATAGATGCCTTGACTAATCACACCTAATCACAATCGGGTGCTATCTCATCCGTATAATCGCGCACATCTCCAATCAATGGCTATGATCAACCCGTTCCAGATCAGACACACAACCGTTTGATCAGTTGGTTGACTCATCGCCAACGGACGACACATCACTGCCACGTGGAGCTAACTGATTAAGAATCCCCCCTCCCCCCCCTCCAAAAAAAAATTAAGAATTTAAAAGAAAAAATAAAAATAAATGAAACATAAATTAAATTATGCGTAATTGTTGGGTGGATTATGAGACAAAAATAATTTAAATAAGTTAAAAAAAATGATTAATGGTAAATTAAGAAATTGATATTTTTAATCTCTATTTTATAATTATTAACTTTTAATTTAATAAAATTTGTATCAAATATTGATAAAATTCAAAGTCTAATGTTTCTAGAAAAGAAGATTGAATGAGTAAACCCAAAATAACCACGTCTAGTGTGAATAAAAGAATAAAATTATACGAATTAATTGGTAAATTAATTAGTGTATTAACAAAATGATGTGTAATAGTTCATTGATTTGTAATTTATATAATGAGTAGGATCTATAATTTGAAAATTACATTACTATAGCTTATATTGATCCAGTAATTAATATAGTAATTGGTGTGTAGTGTCATTGGTGAACAAAAGCATACTGCATTTAATTCTTGGTCATCTCTAAACAACATACATTTAATGAATCAAACAACCATAGAATGAGTGAGAAAATGAGTTCCTCCCCTTATCCTTAACAACCTTTAAAAAAATTCAAAAAAAAAAAAAAAATTTTTTTTTTTACTCTTATCCCTAACAACCTTTCCCATTTGAAACCAAAAACAAAAAATTAAGAATACAAAAATAGATCACAAAATTACACAATTCTCTAATGTGAAATACACTTACAATTGTGTCTGATTTTATGATAAATTTATGTGTAAATAAATAAACTGTATGAAACCATAAGTGTAAAATACAATGTTCATCCTCTAACCCAAGAAGTTTGATTTTTAAATTTTTTTAATGAGACCTAAAAAATTTGAGATGAACTTATCACAAATGGAGCTTGGGTTTTTTGTTTTTATATTCCAACATGGTACAAGACCAAAAATCCTTTTAAAAAAAATCAAGATTGCAGATCAGGTTGTTTTTTTTTAAAAAAAAAAATAGAAAATCAAGGCTGATAGTTTATTTTATTGAGTAAATGTATGTGCTCTTTCCGTGTATTTCTATAGGAGTAAATACATAGAATGTCAGTCTTTCATTTGCTGTATTTATTTTCTATCAAGGCCTCCAATATTACCTAGTATTGTTTCATCATTTCATGAAATGAAATATATGGATAAAATCATATCACTACTACATATATACTCATGATTGGTTCTTTCTTTCTGAAATAATTATTTTACAAAATTAATGCAGTTAAAAAAAACAAACAAACAAATAACATATAGTCATTGTCCCTAATATGAGGTCATATGTTCACAATTTAGTGAACCAACTAGGTCTAGCCTAGTTGGCCACCATGCCTTCCTTAGGGTTTAGTCCCAAGAAGGTCATAGGTTCAATTCCTCTTAGGAGGATTGAATTAAGGGAGTGCAAATACCTAGATGCTTTGCCGATCAAAAAAAATATTCACACTTTAATGAGTCTGATAAAAGAGCGTATAAACAATACACATTGATTGATGTAAAACATTAGAGCCTACTAATTTAGGTGTGGTCATTATATTTTTTTTAATATAAGGTCCATATATTTTGACCAATTATATTTTGTGTATTGATTATATGTATGAGTTGCCAATTGTAAAAGTTAGATATGGTAGCTGTGAATATTGTGTTCTACTAAGGGAAATATTGTGCGGGATCCCCTAGAATGTGTCCCATGACATTGAAAAGAAGGGATTGTATAATGTGCAAAATGGGACAACATTAGGCAATAAGTTGAAGGAGATGATGGGGCCTAAGGTTGCCAATTATGAGAAAACTTACTATTGAAGTTCAAGCACAAGTTCCCATTGAATGGGAAATACAGGTCCTTATCAATCAACGACGATGAGATCTTTCTTTTTCAGGTGCTGTAGAAAGATTTAGCTGATGATCAAGATTCAGGATTATTAACTAATGTGATTGGATTGTTCCTATAATATCTAATAGCGTATCCCCCTCTATGAAACACGGGTACGGGTACGAGTACTGGTACTGGTACTGGTATGATATGGGTACGTCTGTAAAATTTAAAAAAAGTAAGATAAGGGTATGGTTGGGTACGCTTGTAAAAAATATTTATTTTTAATTTAGAATAATGTAAAAATTAATTAAATAGTTTAATTTGTTAAGATGCAACTTAAAATTAACATTTAATGTCAAAAGTAAATGTATAAATCAAAATTAAATGTCAATATATTAAATAACTTATAAATCATAGTTTAATTTTAAAATCATGCTAAGCATAAAACTAAAAATAAAAAAGAAATCTAGTGAAAGGAGTTTTATTCCTGTAGTAAAGGAAAATATTGTTTCCACTAAAGTACGGTACGTCTTGGGTATATATTAGATACGTCTGGGTATGCTAAAAATTAAGAAGAAAAAATTTGGATACGTGTTTCGTGTATCCAATATGTATGCAGAAGAATCATATGAGGTATCATATGCTGGTAAGTACCCAGTACGGAGTGCAACATATTTTTAAAAGTACCCATGCTTCATAGGTCCCCTTTTTAAGGATATACCCCTTCCTTTGATTATTCAGGATTGGATGGTTGTTTGTCACACCTAGTAGTGCATTGTAATATGGTTTAATAGTCGCTTCTCCAGTTCTTAGTTTTGTTTTTTTGCTTTTGTATGAGGACTTATTGTCCTCCACTTTTTTCATCTTTTATTTCAATAAGATTGTTTTTGAAGGTTTTCAAAAAAAATATTTATTTATGATTTTATTGTGGTCTAAATATAAATTTTGAATTTTTTGTACATATTGTTTGTTTATATTAGACATTTTTTTTTAATTTGGAAGTGAATGAATAAATTTTTCGATGTTTAGCTACAAAGAAAATATTATAAGGAAAAAGAAGAAGTATAAAAATGAGCACTACAATCTCTAAGCAAATGAGCTATTATGTCCTCCACTTTTCTAGTTACATCTAGTTACAAAGTTTACATATAAAAGGGATTGTTAGACACTGCTTGGGCCCTAAAGATTTTAGGACTGGCCCTAGTTACTTGGGTCCTTAAGATATTGGGACTGGTCTTGGTTACTTCTCATCTATTACAGTGACTTCTTGTTATTGTGTGTTTTCACACATTGAGTTTATTAGACATCGCTTATCTCAATGACATCTTATCTTAGCAATAATGTCCTTCAGATAACATTGCTTTATCATCTTGATGACTAAAGTGTGATCTTCGCATTCATTAGTCATTGTGGATGTCGTGTCATTTTTTATGTTTAAGGCACGTTTCTATATTATATTGTGCTAACTCATTATCTCACATTAATAGAGTCATTTAATTTTAATGAAAAATTAAGAAAATTTGGAAAGTACTAAATTTTACTTTATTCCCTTATGGTTTTGGTCATCCGCGGTTTATCTCTTGACATTTGAAAATGATCACATAACCCACATGTGATTTGTAGACTGAAATGTACTATTAAATATTTTGTCCAACTTAACAATAAGTGTGAAACACATTACAGATAAAAGGAGGTTATATGCTCATTTTCAAATTTTAATAAGATAAATCACACATGAAATAAAGCACAAACGGTTGAAGTGTACTTTTCCTTCCGAACAAATGATGAAAATAGTCATAGTTCACACACTTAAGTTACTTATATACAGAAATATTTTAGTCTTTTTTATTAAATCGTTAACGGGCCTAACGGTGCACTTCAAGTTCACAAATCGTGTAAGGTTTATGTAGTCATTTCCAAACGTTAAGGGAGCAAACGGCACATGGCCCAAACCACATAGGGGTAAAGTGATGTTTGCCCATTAAACAAAGGCATCGATCCGTCATAATCAAATAATCTAGGCTCAGAAACTTAAGTATAAGAGGGGAATGTCATTAATTGATGCACCTCTTCTCGCCCAATCAAGTAATTGGACACTACTAACCTTTTATTTTATGAGATTATATGACTAAATTATTCTCGAAACTTCATTATTAATCCAAATCCATTACTGGGGTTGTTTGAGATGACCCAAATAAGTATACTTTTTGTCGTTTTACAAAAAGATGTGCAAAAAAGTAGAGAGATGATGTGATGGAAAAAAGATAAAAAGATAAAAAGTGTGTACTTATTTAGGATAGCCAAACTTGGCCTAAATCTAATCAACTAAATGATTGAATAAATAAGTATTATTCAAGTTGGATGCATCACTACAACCATATTAAACCAATAACTTTTTCATAAAACCATGAATTTAAACATATAGAAATGATCATGATTCCGACTCAAACAATACTATTAATTAAAATCATTCCAAATACACAATTGATCCATATATATATATATATATATATAACTTGCATTATTTAAAGAACAATGCACCAAGTTAAGTAGAATGCCATGAAGATGAGAAACTTATCCGGATTCCACCACCAAGTAACCAACTTGGAAAACATGATTAAAATAATATACACATTATCCTAAACATGCCACTAATCATACAAGATGCAAACCTAAGTTCGATTTAAGGGTACTAACATGATTTAATGCAAATAAAACAACTAACAAGCAAAACTAACATGCTGAATATTACATGAAGATTAAACCAGGCTTAATGCATGATTACATAATGATTGAGCTAACCTAAACATGCAGCAGCTATGCATTCAACATAAAACATGCTAAACAAAGCGAAAGCATGCAAATTTAACAACCTGCATGATGCTTTTATGATGGCTAACACCCTAATCATTATCAAACAATGAAAACATAACTAAAAGGTACTGAAATTAAAGTCAGAAGCTTACTTGCTTGTTTGAAACAAACCAAAGGGCACAACCAAAAAGGTGAGAAAAAGATGATATTTCCTTGATTGAAGGCTTCCCTTAGGTTTGGCTTCAATTTAATTCACTTTATTCAAACCCTAGATCTACTTTTAGGTTGGTGGAGCTGCTGTTAGGGTTTGTGTATCTCAGATTTGAGGGTGGGTGGTTAAGGTTCACTCACAAACTTAGTTAAAACTTGGTCCCTCAAAGAAGGGGTAGAGGAGTGGCTATTTATAGGCAAAGAAGAGCTTAGGGGCCAAGCAAGGAGCTTCTAGGATTGCCCCATCACATTCTCCTTGCATCTCCCATCCAAAACATGCCAACAATCCTGACTAAAATCAAATTCTGGGGTATCGGAAGGATGTGCGAGCTCACTAGGGAAGTGCGGCCACAAAAGCAATGTGCAACCGCATGACCTAGGTGCGGGCACACGTGCCATTTGGGGGACATGTGTCCACTCGCAATTCAAAGGTGTGGGGTTCTATGCCTTTGGGCTTGCTTGTTTCCTAAGTAAGCCCAATTAACTCTCAATCAACGTTTTTAAGCAAAATCGATCCATTCTTTTGGAAATGTCGCCAATTTAGGTTCAACTGGACTTTCTTTTCTCCATCTCTCCTAAGTGGGATCAAAGAGTTAGGTTTTTGGATAAAAATGGGACAAAATGGTCATTTTTGTAAAAAGGCGCTTTTGGCTAAAACCAACATAATACAACTCGTAACAATTTCAAATATTTCTACGAATGAAATATTTACCATTTCGTTATCAGGAAGCTTTCAAGTACCCAAAGTCTTAGGGTTAGTCAAAAATAGAATGTCTACAGTCATCATACCTACTGAGTTGGAGAAGACAACAAAGTACTTATAAAAGGATTATCTTTAGTCTTAACAATAGGTACTCTTGTCAATATGACGACACTTAATGAGTAACCGTCATTACTGTAAATGGTATCTCAAATTTTGACTGCAGTTTCTCATTGCCTATTTAATATAACCTACTGTCGTCATTCAAGTACACATTAGAGTTGCAGTGTCATTGATATGGATGCAAATCACACTAACCAAGGTCATAGTGGCTTTGAAATGAGAGAGAGTCCTTGCCAAAAATAGATTATGCAAACGGTTATATTGATTCTTTCGAAAATCAATGTTTCTACACAGACGGATTTACATTATGGAGTTTAGAAAAATTGCACTCCTTGCAAAGATGTTAATCTAGGCTAATATTTTGGAATTCCGATTTCATTGTTTGCAAAACGATTTAAATGTGGATTCCACTTCCCACATTTCTTTTTGAAGGTGACAAAAGTACATTCGGTTGAAATGGAATGACAATACCCCAAGGTCAACGAGTCTCAACTCACTCAATGCAAAGTGAGATTGATCAAATGACTCATTAACTCAATAGGCATTCATGTATAAAGGAGGCAAAGGCAGAATCCAAAATGAATGGATTGAACCCTGTAAATGCTATCATGGTAATTATGGAGGATCATACACTTGTTTATGACCTTGAGCTGTTAGATTACTCAAAACTTTGAGATTGTTGATTTGAGCAATAATTAGGGTTCTATATTTGTCATACAATATGTGAGATTCTCCATTATGTCATCTTGTAAGAGTGAGAAATTGTGGCGTTTTTTTTTTTTTTTTTTTTTTTTTTTTTTTCATTAGGACTAGGTTGTTTATTTTATGTTATGTCATTATGTCGTCTTGTAAGATATCTTTTATGACAGAATGATAACCTAGGCTACATAAGTAAATGTATTCACTTGAAACTATTTGTAATTTTCTTCCTCCATATATATATTTTTTTCCTTTATTAATCAATAAATTAGATTAATTAGGAAGCAAATGATATGTAGTTTTTTTTTTCCCCCCCACTACGAATGAATTATGTTTTTGAAAATAGCCCACTTGTTCCTTGGGCCTTGTTCAAAGAAATTGGGCGAAAACTGATGGAACGGAAGAAGCCATTAGCAAGCACCACTCAGTTCAGTTTCAGAGGAGAAATTAATTACTCATGGCATCAAAATCATCGCTAAAAATCGTACTCCGAGAGAGAAACAGAGGTTACACCTAGATTTTATTACTGAATAACAGTTGCATAAAGGATCCAACACTGCACAATATTAGCTTAATGGATCCAATCTAGACACGACAGGTGTGACTGTCATTGATTTTCCTTACAAGCCTACCCCATCATCTTCCCCATCTCCATTACAAATATAATTCCTTTTAATTCCTGATGTATTTATCAAAAGAAGAACCAGAACTTGTTAATCTTTCCTAAAAGATAATTACATCTCTGAAATTCACTTCAACTAAGAAATGAAACAAACTTCTAAGTGCCTCAGCTTCGAGCCAAAATAGTATACAATATCGGATAACTTAATCTTGCTTGCTTGCCTGCATCAAGTATGTGCTTTCACTTCATCACACCAATCACCCCCAAAACCACCAAACCATTCTTGGTTCTGTGTTGTGAAGCTCGAATGACTGAGAAGATATAAATGCAGGTGTATCCACAAACAATCATCATTGGAACAATTCCGGGAAAGACCACATAATAAACCTTGCAAAAACATCAGACTCCAGGAACTCTATATGAGCAGCCCGTCCAATGAATGTATTCAAGTTCCTGCCTCGGGATGAGGTATCAAAATTGACATCGCATCGCATGAACAGCCTATGCTCGCACGAGGGTGTTCGTATCTGATCCAAGCAATCATTCAGCATCTCCAGGAAGACCTTGCCCTTCCTTGAGTTGTCTCCCGAAGCTGCCTGGCATAATTCAATTCTGGCCGAATGATATGGAATGTAACCATCCTGAGACATACGCAATCAAATAATAGCAGTAGGGTGGTCGTTATTTTTTTGATAAATAGCAATAGGATGGTCATTATGTGAAAAAGTATAAATAAGCAAAGAATAGAATGAGCAATTACAGCCTATTGAAACAACAGTTTGAACAACGTTAAGTTCTAATTCCATAGATCTCCTGATAAAAAAGTGCAGAAACTTAGTCCTGACACCTTTAAAACCACACGGGTTGCAAGCACTCTTAACACATACATGATGATGTATCAAAATATGTCTGATTTCTAAAGATTCAGAAAAGCATTTCCCAATGCCAGAGTATCATTTCTCCCATTCCCAAATCCGTATTGAATCCTTCCAAAATATTAAAACACACAGGTGTTTATGGTGTCACGAGTTCTGATAAAGCAATGCAAATCTTTCTCCAAAAGGGAGATTGTAACCAACAGGCAAGAAAGCATTTTGTTTCAAAACTAGTTCTTCTACAGTTAACAATACACACATACCCATTATTCATTTATCAATAAAAAAAAATAAAAAACGCCACACACAAACCCATACGAGACCAAATCCAAAACATCATAGTTTACTCAGGAGACTCGGGACCTAATCTCCCTGGAAGGAAAATATGATGCTGGCAAAATGCAAGCATATTAGATTCTGTCATATTAGATCCAAAAGTTGCAAGAAGTTCATATACAAAATAAAGAAATACCTGGGGTGAAGATAACAGGACTATATTCTTGAAATTCTCCAGTGTCTTTTGCTGAAAGAGGGAAAGAAACAATATCAGAAACTCAACCAAGGTGAAAGAAGAAATAACTCTCTCCTCCTTTGAAATGAACAAACTCATTCTGACACACACAATATACTGCCACTAATTTGGCAAAATCATAATATGCCAAAGTCAACAAGCAAAACTCAATATAAGACCATAATATCATATTGAAGATCTGGCTTGGTGAACCATCTCCTTCTTCCCCACACCCCCCTTTTCCTTTACCTGAAAACCCAAGAAACACGGGGACACCTACGGAGGAAGCATGTCGTGTTCGATACTCATGTCGGACACCACGACTCTACGAACACTCTTAAATGCATGTCCAACACTTCTTCAACATGTCTTAATTAAAAAATTAAATTCATAATATCGGACACTTTATCAACACTTTGCAGATATTTCGGCGACACTTCTTCAATCCTCTAAACAAGTCCTCTGAGATGAATACCTTCATAATAACAATATTCTGCATTCTTCAAAACACAACTTATGCACTCTAAATATGCTCTATAGCATTTATAAGACGAATACATAAGTGTGTATTACAATGTTTAATAATTGTTTTGCATTATTTAGAATATAATTGTTACGTGAATGATATCTTGATGTTTAAAGTTATGAAATATATATATATATATAATTTTATATATATATATATATATAATTAATATAATTAATGTCAAATTACATCTTTTTCATTATCTTTGAATAAATTATTCATGACAGAATAAATTTGTAAAAATATAAAATTTTAATGTGTCCCAAGCATGTCATGTCCTTCCTTTTTTTTGAAAATCAACGTGTCAACAAATCCATGTCTGTGTCTATGCCACTTAGCCCAAAACAAAATTAAATGAAATGAGAACTTAACCGTATGTTACCCTCCTCAACATAATATGGGGAATGAAGTCTATTTAGGCACCTTGGAGAGTTTGTAGAAGAAAGTATTTTGGAGATCTGGATTGTCAGTATAAGTAAGTTGATGAATGCACTGTGTTCCCCTGAGCTTCTTCAGGAGCCAAAGTCCTGAGTTAAATAAAGAGTTTGAACTGTACAGATAACCTAGATGTGGACCAGATACAGAAAGATATGTATACAGGTATCTTAAGTATGGCTCCATAATGCTCTCTGCAAGAATAAAAGCGCAAACTTAGCACTCCATTGCTAGCAAATTGATAAACATGGTCTCCAAAACTAGAAGTGCACCTGTTAATGCAGTTCTTATGATCACGTTTCCAATAGAATGCCCAACAAAACTAAGCTTGATATTTCTTAAATTCCCAGATCTCGAGGCTTTATCCATTTTCTTCTTAATGAAATAAGCCACCTCTTGAGCCAGCCTTACTCCCATTTCTCTGAAGTCTCCAGACGTTTTGTCTTCATTAACCTCAGACATAAGACACTCTACCTTGGGATCTATCAAAAGCCACTGATTCCGAACAAGCCGTAAATCGAGGTGATGTCCCTGTTTTTGTTTATCATGAAAAACATTAATAAATCTACGTTTGGTAATACAATGTGATACAAGTTACACATGAAATCGATTTCATAAACAATAGTCTGACAATTGAAGACAGTATTATACCCAATTGACTCTGCAGAATATATTTGGTTCCAATTTTTAGAATTCAATTTTCTGAAAATTGAGTTTTTTGTTTTTTGTGTTTTTTTGTTTCTAGTGAATTTTTTTAATATTTGAAGTAAATTTTTTATTTTTTAGATGCATCTTAACTTGGATGTACCTAAAAAGTAAAATATTTATAAAAAAATATTTTAAAAAATCAATAAATACACAAGAACACATAAATGCATTGAATTTTCGTTTTTTTTTTTTTTTTTGTATTTTTGGTATTTAGCGAATTTTTTAAAGTCCTTTTTCACAAATAGTATATTTTTTACTTGTATTTATATTAAGTATCTAAGAAGTAAAAAAAAAATGCTTACAATAGTAACAAAATTCACTAAAAACAAAAAAAAATGCAAAAAACAAAAAAACTCAATTTTTAGAAAATTGACTTATGAAAATTGGAACCAAACAAGGTGAATAATGCCAATGTCATATTGCACATCTATGATCAAAAAAAATTCCAAATATTGGACGCATATCAAGAAGCACAAGTTGATTATGAATACTAAGACAAGTATAAATTGAAATATGCAGCACAAAAAAGATCAACAGGTGGGTACAGTGAATGAGCAAGAACCCTTCACAAGGAAATTTTTTTTCTCAAACTTCATCTTGAATGCCAGATTCTAATCTTGTGTTCCCAAGAGGTGCCTCATAATGTCATTGTCAACTTGACTTGAATTTTGTACCTTCAAACTAGTTTACCAAACAACTGCTGCGCTGGAAGATCTGACAATATTCAAGATGAACTACTTAATAGTATAAAATTATGGACATAACTTCCACTATTTGCTGCAGATAGAATGGTTTAATTCATATGCATTCACCAAAGGGCCAATTGACATATCTTTGCTTGCTTCAATGGCCATTCAGTGCAGCCCTTAATCAGTTTCCAATGGAAACACGACAGACAAAGACAAATGGTTGTAGAAACAGTTCTTTTCTAGTGATCGTGATCATCTCAATATTATTGTTATATAAGTATTGTCAGCAGCAGCATTATTTAATAGCATGCTGCAAACCCTTTTTTTTTTTTTTTTGGTGGATAAATAAGAGTAAATATTATTAAAAGAGCATCAAGACAATGCAAACGAATACAACCACCAAAAAGGTTGTATCGGTGGATCATCCAAATCAAATTGTGATTGAATAGTACACATAATCGGGCCATCAGAACCAACCCATAGCCTGCATGGTTTTGAATTATGTTACATGTAATCTATTTTAGAACGAGAAACTCAATTTCCTTCAACATATTTCAAGCAGTTGGAAGTGGTTGCAATGGATAGTTTCTTTGCCTCGAAAAGGAATTACATGCAACCAATACTGTAGTCCCCTGGCTGGTACAACTAAAGTTCGTTTAACTTGCAATAAGATTCTGGGTTTCTTATCAAAATTAAGAGATACTGACCATACTCAACTTTGAAGTTTAAACCGCAGAATAAACAGGTGAGCCTCTTAAAATGCATGAACTTGCAGGCAAGTCAAGGAAGTACAATGCATAGTAGTCGGCTTTCTTCCTCTCTTTTTTTTCCTATTCAAGCATTAAGAAAACTTCAGTTTAGTACTACTCAGCTCGATCTTTCTAATACTATGATGTCTTCACAGGATGATCAAGCAAAAAATTACACAAGATTTTCCAGTTTCCTCAAATTAACATTCTAGACTAGAAAGATAAATGGGGAACCATGGTAGCACTAAAAGGTGTACAAGAGAAACAGCTGTCTTGATTATAAATTTGTAAGACCTAAGTACTTACGGTACTGTCGATATGCAAGGCCCACAAAAGAGCTTTTGGAGTCACTTTAATACATCGAAGAGTTTAATTAAGCCCTAGTTTCCCAATCAAATCTTACGGTTGTCGGGTCTTACATATTAAAGCTTTTATATTTAAATTAAAACTACAATAACAGGTTCCTATTAATTTTCATCTTAATATAGCTAGTCAATAACTAATATAGAAGTGATTAAGCGTTTTATTTTTTCATCCTTCTCTTTTCACTCTTTCTTGTTGGTACCTTTTTCCTTAATGGGATACCAGAAATTATTCAGAAGATCAGAATCTATAGTTTTCAGATCCTAAGTCCTATATATATCGTAATCACAGTTTTGAAGGTTCAATCACCAATCGAGATTAATTCTCTATATCTCTTTCTTGACTGTGTAATCACCTTCAATTTGATTGTGATTTTCTTGGAAAACCCAAGGTGAGCTTGCCTAGGTGTTTCACTTTCCTGCTTCTTTCATTCACATATTTCCCCATGAAGTCCCTATGTTAAAACCTATCACCTACTTCACCCACTTAAACCTACTCCACTAAACCTAACCCACTACACCACTACCACCTCCACTTCACCTACTCCTTACCTACTACACACTCACCCTCTTCTATATATAGGAATCATGAATCATTGTAATAAAAATCAATCAATATTACATCAATAATACAATTCTCTATTTCTCTTTATACATTCAATTTCAACTCCCTGAGAATTTAATCCACTGTTCTTTCTATTTGATTTAGTACCTACAGACCATTCATTCAGAAGTAATAAACCCAAAACATAATCCCACAACCCAATTCTACCTATTCCCAAAAGCCCTAAGCCTATTTTACAATCAATTGTAACCCCTACTACATACAAACAAAGTGCCCAGTGCTAAGATCTTACTAATAGCATAATTAATAAATAAAAAATCTCCATCAAGGGTACCAGTTTTCATGATTGACTAATCCAGATAGAAAATCATGTACGTACTAAGAGTGTTAGGAAATCGTCTCTTCCTAACCAGGATCGGTGAGACACAAAATAGCAAACAAGAAAGATAAAATGAATCGAAGAAATCACACACACACAAGAACACAGATTTATGTGGTTCAGCCCCGAATAGGGCTACGTCCACGGGTGTTGCGCTTTTCACTATGATCAGAAAACAATATAACTCTTTACAATACAAGAGGTGCCCTCTTCATCTATTCATAAGTATAGAATTAGGGCAACATGGAAGCAACAAGAAATTGCCAAAGTACCCAAAAAATTCGGGCCGGGAACCTCCCATCCCTTGGGGGGAGGCCCCCCTCCCAAACCCCCCATTAGACACAGAGCTCAATGTACAAAACTTATCAGGGTCCACAAGACCAACCGATAAGAGCTTATGATAACACCATTCTATAGGACATTGAATATTTGAGTATTTCACAATGAGAATAATAGAGATTAACTTCTACGTAAATCCACAGAATGCTATGGACCAAGCCTACTTGCATAAATGATGAAGTTTGACATCAGGATGATTTCAAATCCTCACAAGATAAACAAGAAGAAGAATTTGAAATCATCCTACAAAATATTCCAGGGCGAGAAAACCATAGAAAAGAAAGCAATCGGGAACATTACAAAACAGGCTATGGTATCTATAAATTTTAGCCATGATGTGGAAGAACATAACATACCTGAAAGCCATGCACAAATACAACAATCCTCAAAACACGACCATTTTGTTGAGGGCTAGCAGCAGATAATTTGTTTTTTCCCTTAAAACCAATATCAGTGGACAAGCTAGATGTATCTTTCTGGTTGAGATGAGTGAAATATGAATTTCCACTGGTAGAACGCAATGGTGCATTGACAACACGTTCTACAATTATAATGGGAATGCCTGAAGGATCTCCAAATATATGCAGGTCTTGTATAGACCGGTTGTTGATCTGCATAGAAGCAGTAACTGTCATTAAACTCCAGCATACAAGAAGAAAAGCACTTCATATGAAAGCATTAACTAACCCTCATTTGCTCAATACTTCGCCGATGAAGCTCAGCTCGCATTGCTGCTGTCTGTGCAGGCTACACAAAACACAAACAAAAAATTCAGATCACTACATTGTAAAGAGCACATCCTTTCTCAACGAAGATGTATAAAATAAGTACTTGATCTATTACATCATCAGTTAACTTTCTCAAAACTGATACTTTTCCACGAATACCATGGTAGGACCCGTCCACCCCACTAGTTATATATTGGTGCGGCATGTCCACCTTAGAGTATACCATCCAAATTGACCATTCAGCTCTCCTGTCAACAGCCCATACATCTCGCAGATATTCCAGAATCTTTATTTTGTTTTCCCTGGAGTAAAGTTAAGCATCAGCATTTGAACTACTTCCACAAAGCAATAACACAGATAATAGCAGAAAATCAACAGGTTTGATTCCCTAGTTTACCCTTTCTGTGAACAAACTGAAAAAGACAGCTTTATTTTTGCAACATGAACTAAAGATAACTAAGCAACAAATGAAGATAAGAGAGAAAAAATAAACAAGGACACCAATTTACATTATCCAAAATTAAAAATCAAAACAATTTTGTATCCAGCAGTTCCCCAAACCAATGAATCCATATTAAAAGTAGTCTCAATACCAGGCTGATTCAATTTTAAAAGGTTGTGGTTCTTGGAACCAATAACTTCAGATAATGCACCCAAATTTAGTCACAACATGAGATAATAGAATTGAAGCACAGACAACATATATCTAATGAGCAATGAAATATTGTTAAAACCTATCACCTACTTCACCCACTTAAACCTACTCCACTAAGCCTAACCCACTACACCACTACCACCTCACCTACTCCACTAAACCTAACCCACTACACCACTACCACCTCCACTTCACCTACTCCTTACCTACTACACACTCACCCTCTTCTATATATAGGAATCATGAATCATTGTAAAAAATATAACATTACATCAATCATAATACTATCAATTTCTCTCTCTATCATTTTATCTTACTTAATACTATCAATTTCTCTCTCTATCATTTTATCTTACTAATATTTAATCAAAAATGACAAGGGATGGTCAAAGAATAAAGTTATGAATGCAAATTTATACATACATATATGTAAGACTTCAATCTAGAAGTTGGTTGACTACATTTATAAGAAATGAATTAAAACCCAGTCAAAATCTAAGAAGTATGGACACGCAACACGACATGGACATACCGACATGGCAATTTTGAAAAAGAGCAAGGCATGGCACGTGGGAGACATGCACAATATATATAATTTTATATATTTATTATATATCATATATATGAACATATCCTTCAAAGAGAATAAAAAACATAACTTTAATTCCCATAAATTTACATTGCCTTTTCTTTTAGCATTGTATCATCCTAAGTATTTTTTCAAACTTCTTCTAACTAGTTTCATGCATGTCAAAACAATGGACGCATGTGTTCTCCAAGTCTCAGAAAGTGTACCAAGTCTAAAAAAATTATTAAAATATAAGACACGTTTGGACGAGTATCGATGTCCAACATAGACGTGACATGGACACGCTACCTTCTTAAAAGTGTCCATGCTTCTTAGGACAAAACTGTCCAGTTGGACTGCACCAACTGAAAACCAAGTCATTTTGCGTTTCTTAGACCCCATATTCTTCCCAAAAAACTGTCCATTTTAAGCAAACTCTCCCAATGAATTAAAAGGCAAATGCTTCATAGATAGTGCTTTCTTGTTTAAAACCCCAAGTACAGCACAGTATCTAATATATTGCTTGTTTTAACAGGTAATTGAGATTTAGAAATAAAAAAAGTTGCCAAGGAGGCAAGTACAAAAGCAAAATAATAACTTAAATATATAAATAAAAGAGCTCAACAACTATCAAGCCTCAAGCAGAACAGAAAACTAGCACATCCAAGACTCTAATCAAGCCTAGGGCAGTCAACATTAAGAACCACTACTCCAGCCCTTTTATTTCTAACATCGTAATTTATTGTGTTAACAAAATTCTTTCACTCCCTTCCACATCTTGCTTTACTATACCCACTCCGCCTTGCCGCCATACCATCCATGTTTGGCCTCTTATTTTCTTCGATTGCCAGTAACAGCTTCAGTGCCTGATCCTCAAAAGCTTCACAAGGGATCCCAAGAAATTTGCTCAGTCCTTTGAAGCAGTTCATTAACCTCTCTGATGGCTTAGTACCTTCATCCAATTTAGAATGGACCTCTAATGCCCCAGCCCCTTCACCCAAAAAAGTTTTACGATGCTATTATCATAAGTACAAAGATAACTTTACAATGCTTGTAAAAAATTTGCATCTCATTAACCAACCAACTAAACTAACTTCAGCATGATGCAATTATTTTTCTTTCAGTTAATTAATTAATGCATTTCTCCTCTTAGTGTTTTTTTTTTTTTTTTTTTTTTTTTGGTCTAAGGGAAATTGGTTACTTTGAGCACCATTCTTTGTCATACATTTGTGTCATCCTCTAATTATGATGATGATGGCAAAGCAATCATAATCATCTCTTCCTAAATCAATCTTTCATTTATTTATTTATTTTTGGATAAATTACATTGACCCCCCTTGAGGTTTGGAGAAAACATAGCAAGCCAAAGAAGTGTGACATAATTACATTAGACTCCTTTAAGGTTTTAATTCACAAAACACAACACTTAGTCCCCTTTAATCAATAATTTGTTATGAATAAAAAAAATGATGTTGTCATCTCTTTTACACTGAATGTATATTTTACCTTGTTTATCTTTGAATTTTGAAACCATTTGCATTAGTTATGACCCCTTTAACATTACTAAAAAGGCTGGTTAGTGTAATTATGTCAAAACCATGGGGCTTCTTGTATTTTCTTCAAATTTCAAGGGAGGTCAGTGTAATTTAGTCTGTGTTAAAAAATAAATAAATAATAAAAAATTGGCACCCATAATCCAATGAAACCATCACATTGTTTATGTAAAATTGAAGGCCACGTTTGGCTTGAATTTGTAGAGTGATTTTGAGAAAAATTTTCTAAAAAATTTGTTTGGTTTGTAAATTTTTCAAAATCACTCTCTCTCTTACCTATCAATCAATCACTTTTTCTCTCTCCTCTCTCCTCTCTCCTTCTCTATCACTTTTTCTTTTACACACATCTACTCAATTATAACAAAAATATCAAATCATTCCAAATTTCTAAACTCCAAAACTACTTTCAAAATACACAACCAAACAAACCAAAAAATCACTTTTTCTCTCTCCTCTCTCCTCTCTCCTCTCTCCTTCTCTATCACTTTTTCTTTTACACACATCTACTCAATTATAACAAAAATATCAAATCATTCCAAATTTCTAAACTCCAAAACTACTTTCAAAATACACAACCAAACAAACCAAAAAAATTTCTAAACTCTCTCCCCAAAACAACTTTTAAAAACTACTCTCCCAAAACCAAACCAAACATACCCGAAGTGTTTGGAGAATCTAACAATGTTCGATATACATTATTTAGAACTTGATTCATATAAAGTTCAAAATGTGACACTTGCTACATTTGTTATGAATACATGACTTTTGTGTGTGTGTGTGTGGCTGTGCACATGAAGTGGCAGACCCTCCATCCATGCATGCTCGGTAAGTCCATGAATATCTTATCAAGGATGGACCCAAGGGAGAGGAGTTGAACCTGACTTTTTCATGGCATGAGGTCACCGAGCACTCAATCTACCCCTTGGGGTTAAAGCATGCCATATTAGTCTAGAAAAGGACCAAGCATCTCCATGCTACAGATTCTGTTCTGAAAAATTGAAAGCACTAAAAGTGAAAGTAGCCAGGCTTTTTGACTTTAGACAAAACCTTATAAAATGTTTTAAGAATGTTCAACTCAAACACAAACCTATTAAGTACTTATCATATACTGATAACACCCAAGTTCAAGTGTTTAGTCCTATACTTTTATCATGTCAGCATCACATGAAAGCCTAACAGATTATTCATTTGGAACTATCCATACAATAGACAAAGAAGGCCAAAAATTACTTTCCAGAGTTTTTGGCAAGTTTGCCATCCCAAATATCATAATCCTCTTTGCCAATTAGCAAGAAGGAAAAATTTTACAAGTCAAATATATCATTTAAGACGAACTAATTTTATCACGTACACCTGTCTGTCCAAAAGGACTGCAACCATTATGTAGTAGTCCCGATTAAAAGGTTAAAAATAACAAACTATCTATTTGACCCATTAAATAGATCAAAATTAAAAAAATCATTTTCATGCAATGAATTTAGCTGATTGATATAGTTAAAACTTTAATGAATGACCGAGTAACCTTTAAGATGTTAAATGGTCAAATCTCAACTGATCAAGTTTTAAATTTAAAAAAATGACTGATCTACTCAATTGTTCCATCAAACCATGGTCCTGATCGCCTTCTCAATGCGAATACTTACTGGTTGCTTGCTTGATTATAATTGATCAAAGCCTGTATTGGGGAAGCGCCATAACATGGTGAATATGAGACATCCCTTGGGCTTGTCATCATTGGCATGAGAGAGAATTATTTTTGAGAGAGATCATTTAATTACACACTAATTCTCAGTAGCCCAAAAATATATAAATTGTGCATCAATGGTTTTAATAAACAAACAGGGAAAGGTGCAGAATTTCTCAGATCTAGACCCTAGCTACAGGAAAGTTTGTATTAAAGAGGGGAAACGGGGTGCTTATGTAATAAAATAAAGAGGAGGACCATTAGAAGTCTAGAGCTTCCAATTCATAATCTTCCAGTTAGGATCAATCTAAATCAGACCAATATGTATCATACCTAGTATGGGAAAGAAGAGGACTCTAAAGGTATTACTAATCAAGTTGAGGATCTGAAGCCTAAAGAAGTGCTTTTTAGGTTACAAGGATGGGTTTCAAAGAGTTCGTTTTCCTTCTTTTCTTTAGCTCTTTGCAAATATGCCATACATGCCGAGGCTCCCTACTCTAGCATCACAAGGTTTCTATTAATCAGGAAAAGTAAAAGAAAAATAAGTCACTTCTCTGCAATTAACTGTGATTGTCTTCTCCTTATATTAGCTATAACAAATATAAAAAGAAAGGTAGAAAAGTTCTTGCTTAGATACTCCTTCAGATACCAATCAGAAACGCAAAATTATTGAATTTAAGATGTAATTAGCACAAACCTGTGAAATTTCAGAAACGTATTCCACAAATACAATATCTGACTCCCAAGTGAATGGAAATAGTTCAAGAGTTCATCCCTGGATAAGGAATGGAAAAACTCACTGCTCTGAAAATCAACAAAACCATTCGGCTTCTGTTCAAGGACAAAAAAACAGTATGGATAAACCAAAAAACCATAGAAGTATCAAGATTACAAACAAAACTATGAGCACTTCGCAGCAAAAAATCAAGACCTCAGAATCCATTCGTGACTTGCCAGATGCTTCTGTTGAATGTTCAGCATGTGTAGTCTTCACACCTCCTTGCAGAGAACCAAACCTTGAATCATCCAATCCGGAAGTAAAATCAGTCAAATCAATGGCCTGATTAATTGCGTTGCTAAGTTTTTGTAACTCTTCAAGAAGTATGCCTCGGGCAGTTAATAATGCTCTAACAAGCATGACCTGTTCAGAGAAAAATATACAAAACAGTTGACTCAATACCTACCAATCACACAATTTAACTGTCTTCATTAAGGAAACATCCTAGAGAGAAACAAATTGAATGATAAATAAATAAATAAATGCAATAAAACTCCCTAAGTACCTTTCTAGCCAATTTTGATATGCAAATCACTTGGCTCAACGATGTGGACCATTTAAAAGACTTCACAGAATTTCAAAGAAAAATGAACAGGTGCATAGACTAAATGAAGTGAGACAGAGAGAGAAAAATACTTATACTAATTCATGTTTTGCTACTTAATGCTATGTATAGATATTACAAAAAAGTAAAGTTATTTTACATTAATGATTAATCATGAATTTTCTCGCCTCTCAGCCAGATCCAAAGGAGCCTTTGTCAACTTAAGGGATAACATGTAGTCATCTCTTTCATCTCATATGAAATGATATTGAAGGAATGCAAGGAAAATATAAAGGATCACAAATAACTAAATGGGCACAATATAAGACTCAAATAGGCACGTGAAGTAAATAAACAAATGGATACAATAAATGACCCAAATATGCACACAAAGCTCTTTGCTCTTCGTGTATTTACTACAAAGCCATAAAATAAGATGGTAGATTGTCCACATAATCTTCTGAAGTATAGGACTTAAGTGAATCCAAACATTGTAGAGGGTGCTTGTTCAGAACACATTATCTCACCTTTGCATGCATTTCTATCGAATGTAACCAATTCCAATTAAGTGAGATCTTCTGCAAATTACTGAATTATTTTTAAAGCACGGGTAAGCATGGCTTCCCACCAACATGACACAAGGCATTTTACTCCCTTTAGAGCTTCATTTGATGTTCACTTGCAAACAAAGTTTTGGAAGTCAGCCTCTACAAATACAAGGAAAGAAATTTAAATTCCAGATGTCATACGTACGTTTGGTTAATAAATTTAATCATTGTTAGGCAATTATCATTTGCATCTGCATTTTGTTCATCTAGCTTTATTAGATCACGCAAATCGTAGTGCTTACTTCCTCGGTTATGAAAGAGTTTCTCATTTGGCAAACAGCCATGAAATAACCAAACCAAACTAAACCTGGTGTCCCAATCAAGTGGGGTAGGTTACATGAATCCTTTTTTGCCATTTTGCTGTCAAGGGCTATATGATCATTTAAATTTAATAAATTCTTCTTTTTTTTAACCACCACATTATATGTCATTTTAGGCCTTCACTTCCTCCTAATATTTTCATTTATGGTCCTCATATCACTCTTTTTTATCGTTGCATCTGTAGGTTTTCATTATACATAACCAAACTATCTTAATCTATTCTCTCTCAACTTATTTTCAATTGATTCTACTCCTACCATTTTTCAATTATATTCATTTTTTATTTTTTTAATCTTACCATAAATCCATCTATGCATTCTCATCTCAACTACACTCATTGTATGAATGTATTGTTTCTTAGTTGTCCAACATTCTGTCCCACAAAGCATAGTCGGCCTTATAGCTATTCTATAAAATTTCCCAAAAGCACTCCACATAACTAAAGTGAAAAGAAAGGAACTAAAAGGATATTGTAGCATCAAATTGTCATAAAAGTTTCGCTATGCATCTCTTTCATGCATGACATCAGTGTTCTAGTGTGAGAAACCCTTTAAATTTTCTAGTTTATTACTAAATCCTAAAAATTTTATAACCCACTTTTACAGGTGAACAAGAAAGACTAAAGTGTAACCTATTTAGTTTTTCTTTTTGGCCAAGATTGTAGGATGTTAGTTTATTAGTAAAATTAGATTACAACTAAAGGAGTCGTCGCTGCTTTATCAACTCCAACCCCTAACCTTCCCCTCATCACAAGGTGTGGCTATACAACCACTAGAATACTACCCATATCCAAGGTTGTTAAAATCGAGAGCCTAAATAGGATTGGTGAGAGGGTCTCGTGGATCGGATCGAGAATCATAAGATCCTACTTTCTATTGAAAAAAAAAAGAAGATAAAAATACAAATTAAAATGATACATATTTAAAATAAGATGAAAAATCACAAAATTTACGATCCTACCTATGATCCTCTACGATCCCATACAATCCTACTTACGATCCTATTATAACATCGATCCTACAACGATCTGGATCGTTTTAGCAATATAGAATTGTACGATCTTACGATCCAGATCTCGATTTTAATAAACATGCCTATATTACTCCACAAATACTCACCGATACGTGTTTGATACTTACTAAACATATCTAACATTTACTATTAATTTTCTTTAATTTTGAGAAATATAGGATACTTTTCGGATACTCTAGGTCATGTGTCCGCACTAGTATAAAACTGAGATTGTAATAATTTTTGCATAGTATTAAAGAATAATTATTATTACAAATACAATAGAAGTTTTTCAAACACTTTTCTTAATTCTTACATAAGAAGAAAATAGTGAGATTAGATTTGTCCTATATCGATATCCATACTTTGTACAAAGTAACGATAAATGAAAAATATAATGACAAATCATATTTCAACAATTATTAAACAAGTAAACTTGCATATAACACTTTTAAGTGTAAAAGGAAAAAAACACAAGGGCAACATAACATTTTAGATTTGATATTGAAATGAAATGTTTATAGGACCGACTAGAGAAAAAAAAGAGTAAACTATCTTAAACTAATACCTAATTCCTAAAGAATGATTCTCACTATTCTCTGTGCAATACTAAAAATTATAATTTTTATCCTACTTTTTTAGAATTTTTTTCTTTTTCCCTCTCTATTTGTATCGTATCATAGTTGTATCTCATAACCATATCTATGCTTCATGGTGTATATCGGGGGAATATGGAAATAAACAACACCCTCTAGTCAAAAAGCAGCTGAGATGGATCCTAAAAGGGTGCCTAACATGTTTTTGTAAAAAAATCATGATAACCGCACACCCCTTTTTTTTAAATTATCCCATGTTTGGTTCAATTTTGTGGCCTAGGATAACTTATCCAGTTGGCCCTCCCACATGCGGGATTATTTTGCAATAACACGTTGCAAAATGAACACTCGGGATAACTTATCCCACCTAATCCTATCCACAAATCAAACATGCCCAACAACTTTGATCAACTAGAACATTCTAGACTTAACAAAGAACATCATGTAACACCTAAATAATAATATTTGACCTATAATATAACCCATGAGAGAACCTTGTAGCAAGGTTGATTAATTTGCAAAATTACCAATTATACATGTCCATTCTCCCTTATGAAATACATGATAGACTTAAACCAACCCTAGATAAGTTAATAAAGCATCCAAAGTGAGCTCTCTGTGAAATTTCATATTTTCCCCACATTTTATTTCCATGCTTTGTATCATTTTAGTTTTTTTTTTTAAATGTACCCTCGCAAGTTTTGTCCTTGCCTAAACCACCAAACCAACAATAAATAGCATTATCCCAAAAAAATCTTAAGTTATCCTACATCATGTACTCCGCTTGAAACAACCACTATAACCTCGCACTGTTTCCTATTGTTGATAACAGTTAGCTAGTTTTACCAAATCACAAACAAGATCACAAGTAAGTTGGTATCCTATTAAAGGTTTTTAAATAGCGAAAGCAGGAGATGAATCGGTATTAGTTGTGGTGTAGTGGTATCAGGAGTACCGGTTGATACGTATTGGGAATCAAGTGACACAATCATGAATTTTTTAAAATATCAACTAAAAAACGAAAAACAAAACAAAACAGAGAGAGAAAAAAAAAAAAAAAAAAAAAAAAAAAAGAGCTTTATAGCAACCAAATAGTTCATATTGGTTGTGAACCAGGTTGTGAATCAGAATGCGTATTGTGAATCATCCTCCATTATGCAAGCGATTTTCATTTTCATTGGTCTAATCTAGATGTATCAGCATCAAGAGACCAAAAAACCGATACGCGTTGGCCGATACTTTAAATATCAACCGACATTTAAAACCATGATCCTATTCAATTATACACTACATATATCATACAAATTCATCAAGCTAGTGTAAGATTTCTGAATATTTTCTGTATATTCAATTGTGTATGATACAAATAGTACAACCGATATATATAGTAATCCTAGACGTAATCTAAAATAAGAAATAAGAATAACCCTTTACAATAAATCTAACATACACACAATCAAACTAAAATATACAATCAATCTAATATATTTCCATAATTAATATAATATACTCACACCTCCGCTCAAACTCAAGGTGTTTTAACAGAAAATACTAAGAATTTGCCAAAAAGAAACTGAAATCGAGCAATGGTGTGAGCCTCAGTAAAGAAATCAGCAAGTTGCAATGCCGAAGAGACGAAAGGAAGTGAGATGGAATCGGACTGCAGATGTTGACAAACAAAATGACAATCAATCTCAATGTGCTTTGTCCGCTCATGGAAGACTGTGTTATGGGCAATCTGAATAGCGCTGTGGTTGTCACAATAAAGAGAGGTCAAACAAGACTGAGGGACACCCAAATCAGTCGAGAAACAAAAAAAACAGCACTGGCATGAGTCATAGCACGATACTCAACCTCAGCAGTGGAACGCGCAACAATAGTCTATTTCTTGCCCTTCCAAGAAATCAAATCACCAAGAAACATGCAGAAGCTAAAAGTGGACTTGCGATCAGTGATATCACTAGCCCAATCGGAATCAGTATAAGCCACCAAGTCTAAAGAGAAAATAGAAGACAACAGTAAACCCTGAAATATAATACTCCAAAGATAGCAAAGAATCTGAACCAAAGTAGCCCAATATGTAAAACGAGAAGCAAAAACGTACTAACTAACCACATGAACAACATAAGCAAGATCAGGGCAAGTAACCGTCAAATAGACTAAGCAACTCACGAACTAGGATCAGGCACAGAAACACCATCAGTAGTGTTAAGTTTCACATTAAGCCCAATGGGAGTATCAATAATCTTAGTGTCAATAAAACTAACACTATGAATAACTTTA